TCTAGAACTTCAAATCCCATGAATTGTCAATGTTTTACAAACTGATGTACAAATCCCTTGCCCAAGCATAATAAAGGAGTGTGAGCATAGAAAGAACACAACAGCTTGGAATTACTTTTTTTCACCTTAGATTATTAAATAAAATTAAGAATTATAAATAGTAGGTGATTTGTTTGCTAAAATTATTTGTTAGGTATAAAAAAAAAAAAATTTGCCGACAGAGAATTTAGAGAAATGGCTTTTTAAGAGATGAAAATGCTGGCTTTTCAATTATTGGACATCTGAACATGGGTAGAAAGCTGGCTTGCTTGAATGTTTGTTGGTGCCGAAGAGACCGTGCGAGAGCTTAACGAACAATAAAATTTTAGGAGGTTACTCAATTGAATCAAGGACTCCAAAGAACCCAAAAAAGGAAAAAAAAAATTGAAATAATTGCTAAACAAAATGTATTTTCTAGGATCTAGAAGAAGTGATGATGTGGCTTTGTTAAATGGAGTTTGTTATGGCTACAATAGTGCTTTTCTAATTGTGGGTAAGTGTGGGTAGAGTTAGTTGATTGTTGACCTCTGTAAATTTAGTTTACTGGAACAAAAGTGTACTAGTGTTTTTTGTAACCCTCATTTGCATTATTGCATGTATGCAATAAAAATCTTATACTAGTTTTGTAAAATCTTTTTTATGATTGAACGCTTTTCTTTTTGAAATCCTACTATTGCTCTATTTTGTTTTTTATATATACACTTTTTTCCATGACTTTAAAATTAAATATACTTTGGTTCCTTAAGAATATCTGATTTGGTGTATTGAGTTTTCAACTTCTGTTCCCCAATATATCTTTCTACGCATTCACAGTGTTCTTTCTATATGTTTATATGTTTTTTGCTTTTTATTTTTTTATCAGGTTCCTTGTGGTACCGAAAAAGAACAAAAGCCCCCTAGATGTCCTAAACCATGTTGTATAATTCCTTTATGCAGGCATGGACCAAATTGCAAGGTAGTGTTGGCTCTTCCTGCTTGGTCTCTTGCAGAGACATTTGTCTTTTCCAATTGCGGCTTATGAGAAATTTCTAGATCTGGCAAAATGCATTTATTACTGCATAAATTGTGACATACATATTCTCTAAATTCGAAACCATATATAGACTGTTCACTCATTTATAATTTATTGTTTTTAGTTTTGCATTTTAATGTATGTAAATCCTAATTCTCATTTTTGGTGACTAAACTTATGGAATTAAGAAGTTGAGGCCCTTCAGTTATCAAACAGCTGAATTTAGATATTGGTTATAGCAATTTTTACTTGGCTATTTGTTCATTCATCTATATTGGATCTTTTTATCAAAATTAAAAATTTTCATTCCTGTTTGTAGTTGTGTCTCTTCTACTGGTGAGGGAAAATTTTAGTATTTGTCAAAAAATTTCATTAAAATTTTGGTAAAGATGTTTATTCTGCAGTGATGCTTGTGTATTTTTCTCCAGCCACACAAATGCCATTATGGAGCTTGCCCCTCATGCCGGTTAATCTGTGAAGAAGAATACCCCTGTGGCCACAATTGCAAATTAAGGTTTTGAAAATTTTATGCATGTGATTTTACCTGACACCCTTTAATGTACAATACCACTTTTATGTATCTCTAAGTTCTTTTCACTTTCCTTTTTTCACATTTAGGTGTCATGGCCCGAAACCTCCTCCTAATCCAGAATTCACATTGAAGCCAAAGAAAAAGAAGTCAAAACATCACAGTGAATGTATACCGGGCTCACCGTGTCCTCCTTGCCCAGAACTAGTGTGGAGGTCATGTGTTGGTGAACACGTGGGAGAAGAGAGGATGGTTGGTCTTGGATCTTCTTGCAAGCACAATATGAACATTTCAACTTGCTTACTTTGTGTACTTGATTATGATGTGTTGTATTATCATTTTCCATACATACGTTTATTGTTCTACTTTATTCCTCCTTACAGATGGTTTGCTCAAATATAGCAGAATATTCTTGCAACAATTTGTGTGGAAATCTTCTTCCTTGTGGCAATCATTATTGTACTAAAGTTTGCCATGCCCTCAAGAGTCAGTCTTCATCATTAGGCCGACATGGGAGAGGTGAATTCTGTGAAGAGTGTGATCTTCCTTGCCAAAAGGTTAGATTTTGTATCAGTTTCATTGATATGGACTTTCATGTTTTATACTGCACCCTTTTCATCTTTTGCATTGAAAATATGTTTCAATTTACTAAAATAATCAAATACCCATGTTGGACACCCGACACTTGGACAAGGATATGGGATGGATATGTGTCGGATATTTTTCATCAGACACTTCTAATATATATGTATTTAATACTATTATTATATGTACATATTGTTGTACCAATGGTTGGGCATGTGCGTTTCGCGTGACACATGATTTTTCATCAACTGTTAGTACTGTAATTATACGTATGTATGTGATATGTACACAAAGTATGGAGTTTTGTGTGGGTAAATTGATCTGTATCCAAAATACAACTAAGCAAGAAATGAATATATACTTGGTTGAAGAATTTAAATGATAAATGAGAAATTTTATAAACATAAGCTAGATTGTTATCTTATTTTAAACAATAAACAATTCCTTTAAATATATAGTGTTACACAAATATTTTTCTATCAACTTTTCACTTCAATTTTTAGTAATCCGTACCTGTAATACAATTGAAAGCATGAAATTAATTACACAATTACACAATTTTGTTTAATAGTTCATCTCATAATACAAATTCATTGAACCCACTATTGCATATTATTTGCATATTATTGGTGTAAAAATGCATTAATATCAAAATGTAATATATTTTTATACATCAAGAGTTGTTGAGTCTCGTTTTCTGTGCCACAAATATATTGCATAATAAAAAATATAATATTAGTCATTAGTATATTTTATTTATGTAGAAAATGTGGAATATTTTTTTTAAGAAAATGAAATGATATTGTACATTAATATTTTGATCGATATAAGAATTTCATAATTATTTTCACGATGTTTATGGATCTATGCTTATAAGTGTTTATATAGGATCATTTTTGTGAAACTGTCAAGTTACATAATTTATTATGTCATATGTTAGTAATCAGCATATGACAAAAATTGATTGAAATTTTTTATTTGATATACTTACTTTTTACATCATTGAGTTGCTGTAGTAATGTTTGGGCATCATTTGATTTTTTTCCTTGTAATTTGACTAAAATGTGTGCATGAGTTACATTTGTTTTTCTTGAACTTCACAACATATAGGATAATTTTTGCTTTAGCTTGTCTAACTTTGCTTGGAGAGTATGTTACAATAGATCTTCTATAGTTTTTGTTTCACCATCTTCTTGCTCACAATTATAACTCATTGTAATAAAAATATTTTGATGAGTAAGAGATTGAGGCGATATCATATTGTTATGAATTTCAAAATTCATTTTCCCTTAATAATGTGATTTTTCCCGTGAGGGAAAAAAAGTACAATTATTGTCGTGATGGAGGTGTTCTGCAAAGTATTGGTTTGTTATAAATATTGGTTTGCACAAGCATAACTATGCACAATTTCGCAAGATTTTCTTAACAAATATAATTATATTACTTAAGTGATATATGTTAGAAAATTAAAGTATCTGATGGTAATATAGAATCACGGATTGGCAATATATGAATGCAGTAACATATATTATTTACATTTATATGTTTTTTATACATTTATATATGTAGATATAGGACTCTTGGAAGCAGATATATCGTTTTTGAGTGTTCAACTCCAACAATGAAGAGATAGTTGGTTTATATAGGATTTTTCATGACTTCTAGAAAATAGTAGATTTGATAGGGTAAAATTGAGATTTAAAAAAGTAGAAAACATGACATGTTCTTCACACTTTTATAATAGTAGTAGATAATTGCTATAAATGTCTTTTTGACACCATATGTTATATATAATACCATTTTATCTCACATAATAGATTAAAATAGAGAAGTACAACATTTTTTTGCCCAAACCACATACCCTTAAATTTAAGGTTTAAGGAGTCCAACCTGTAGATACACACACCGATATCTTTACCCAAGTCCATGTAACATTTTTGACGTCAGATATTTCTATCCTATAGCATCGAATTCGTTTCAGCAACACCATACACTTGAAATTCTTACATTGCTTTATTTTTCCATTGCCTTCATTCAGGAGAGACAGCCTGCATGCCCACATCCGTGCCCCCAGCCATGCCATCGTGGTGAATGTCCTCCTTGCAAAGTGCTGATAAGACGATCGTGTCACTGTGGTTCCATGGTCCAAGTTTTTGAGTGTCTATACTACAACAGCATGTCTGAAAATGAACAAATGACTGTTCGTTCATGTGGACGACCTTGCCATGGGCGGTCATTCATTATAGTGTTTGGTTTGGTTTGTTTTTTCAAAATTTTGTTTTGAACTTTTTGATTTAAATTAAATTTTTTTTGTGTTTTTGTTTTTGACACTTACAAAATAGACTTACAAAATAATTTGTTGTGTATTTTTTTTTTGAAAAAAATGTAATAATAATAATAATAATAGTAATAATAATAATAACAAAAAAAATATAATAATAACAAATCAGTACATGTTCGAATTTATAATTTTTTTTATAAATATTTTACTTTTTAATTTTGTTTAGATTATTAGGTATTAAATATTCATGTAAAAGTATAATTTAAATATAAAATATGAAGAAATTTTAGTATCTTTAATAACCAAAACTGAGACAAGATGATAAATGAACTACAAAAACATGAAAAATCAAAAACTATAAAACAAATTTAAAAAATGAAACCAACTAAAGTGGTTCTTGTTTATAATTTTGACATCATACTTTTGTTATTAAAGTATTATGTCAAATATTACAGTTCAAAAATTCAAATCTAAACAAAAATAAAGTGTGTGAAGATAACTTGTAGAAAACAGTAGATTTGATAAGGTAAAATTGAGATTTAAAAAAGTAGAAAACATGACAGGTTCTTCACACTTTTATAATAGTAGTAGATAATTGCTATAAATGTCTTTTTGACACCATATGTTATATATAATACCATTTTATCTCACATAATAGATTAAAATAGAGAAGTACAACATTTTTTTGCCCAAACCACATACCCTTAAATTTAAGGTTTAAGGAGTCCAACCTGTAGATACACACACCGATATCTTTACCCAAGTCCATGTAACATTTTTGACGTCAGATATTTCTATCCTATAGCATCGAATTCGTTTCAGCAACACCATACACTTGAAATTCTTACATTGCTTTATTTTTCCATTGCTTCATTCAGGAGACACAGCCTGCATGTCCACATCCGTGCCCCCAGCCATGTCATCCTGGTGAATGTCCTCCTTGCAAAGTGCTGATAAGAAGATCGTGTCACTGTCGTTCCATGGTCCATGTTTTTGAGTGCATGTCTGAAAAGGAACAAATGACTGTTCGTTCTTGTGGAGGACCTTGCCATAGGTAGTCATTCATTTTAGCTTTAACCCCCCGGGCGAAAAAAAAAGAAAGGAGCCCCCCCAAAAGAAAGGAGGGGATGCTAAAAGGGATGAGTATTATTAATGTAGCTTTTCAATATCATATTGGGCAGATCCATCTAATTGTTCTACATTCTATTGGAATAGAATGTTCACACTCATGTTAAATACCTAAAAAATTGTGAGAATGTGAATTAATTGCTTAGTAACTATGGCAACTAACAAATGTTATAAAATACAAACCATTAATTTTTCACTTTTTTCTCTGTAAGTTTAATGACGTGCCACTACAAGGACTGCCATTTTAGAGGGTGCCAATTTGCTGGGACAAAGACTAAGTTGTGTCAAGGTGTGTATGCCTTGTATGCCAACCCAACAGCTGAAACGGGTGGGTGGCCTTGGTTTTTATTCTCATAGTCTTAAATCACCAAACAAGGACTGGAAAAAGACCATTTGATGTTCTAAATGAGGTCAATTCTAGAAGGGGCAATGTCAAAGTGAAGTAGGAATTAGTCCTGGACCATTAACGGGAAGAGTGATTTGTGCATCTAAACCATGTAGTCAATAAAAGAAACAGAGCTTCCATACAAAATGGAGCCAGTTCCTTTGGTGTCCTAATCAAAATGAGATTTATACATGTTTTTACTTTGATATGCAGAAAGCTACCCTATTGTACACATCTATGCCCAGAGATATGTCATCCTGGTCAATGCCCAGCACCTGAGAAGTGCTCTGAAAAGGTAACATTTCAGTGTTTCAAAATTCATCATGCTGGCATTACTTTATCATTGTGTCATTCAGTCGTAATTCATGTGCAAATGAATCTATTCATGTTATAATTATACTTGAGTTTCTTCTTTTGCTATTCTTGTCTAATATTCAAGAGAGGAGATTTTTATTGTAGTTGTTCCAATGTATTTCCCATGGCTTTATGTAGAAGATTTTGTGGAGTGGCTAATAAGAAGAACAAGGACTAACAGAACTAGGAAACCTGGCATATACCAAGTTTATTGTGAAATCTGGCATTATCTGTCTGTGAAAAAGGAAAAAGGAAAAAAAAAGGCAATAACATTTCCTTTTTAAAATGAAACATTTCCTTTTGTCTGTGACAAATGAATCTATTCATCTTATCCCACAATAACATTTCCTTTTTTCCTTTTTCCTTTGTGAAATCTTATCCCAGAACTAGGAAACCTGGCATATACCAAGTTTATTGTGAAATCTGGCATTATCTGTCTGTGAAAAAGGAAAAAGGAAAAAAAAAGGCAATAACATTTCCTTTTTAAAATGAAACATTTCCTTTTGTCTGTGACAAATGAATCTATTCATCTTATCCCACAATAACATTTCCTTTTTTCCTTTTTCCTTTGTGAAATCTTATCCCAGAACTAGGAAACCTGGCATATACCAAGTTTATTGTGAAATCTGGCATTATCTGTCTGTGAAAAAGGAAAAAGGAAAAAAAAAGGCAATAACATTTCCTTTTTAAAATGAAACATTTCCTTTTGTCTGTGACAAATGAATCTATTCATCTTATCCCACAATAACATTTCCTTTTTTCCTTTTTCCTTTGTGAAATCTTATCCCAGAACTAGGAAACCTGGCATATACCAAGTTTATTGTGAAATCTGGCATTATCTGTCTGTGAAAAAGGAAAAAGGAAAAAAAAAGGCAATAACATTTCCTTTTTAAAATGAAACATTTCCTTTTGTCTGTGACAAATGAATCTATTCATCTTATCCCACAATAACATTTCCTTTTTTCCTTTTTCCTTTGTGAAATCTTATCCCAGAACTAGGAAACCTGGCATATACCAAGTTTATTGTGAAATCTGGCATTATCTGTCTGTGAAAAAGGAAAAAGGAAAAAAAAAGGCAATAACATTTCCTTTTTAAAATGAAACATTTCCTTTTGTCTGTGACAAATGAATCTATTCATCTTATCCCACAATAACATTTCCTTTTTTCCTTTTTCCTTTGTGAAATCTTATCCCAGAACTAGGAAACCTGGCATATACCAAGTTTTTTTTCCTTTTTCCTTTTTCAAATGAAATCTGGCATATACCAAGTTTATCCCTCACTCATCAGTGGTTGGTTTAGCATTTTTCTGTAGTTAAACAGGACTAGCATAAATTAATTGAGCCTTAATCTTATCCCACATTGGAGGGGAGCAGCTTCTGAGCTCATTAATCACCTCTAGTTAAAATAAGATTAGCCAAAAAAAACAAAAATAGCCCTAATTTTACCTTTTGAGTGGCCTGTTAATTGAAAGAGGAGAATTCTAATGCACAAACTTAGTTACTATGTGAAAAGGACGATTTCCTCATTTACTGGTAAATTAACAAGGTTACATTATCTTTGTAATCCAACATTTTTTCGAGTTACAAATTAAGTTGTCATTTTGTTAGCTCATATAAAAATTAAGTTTTCATTTTGTTCAGTAGATTAATACATGTTTCTCCACATACAGTAGATTAATGAGTTTGTTTTGTAGAAGCACTTGCTCTGATCTGATATTGTGATCTATTTGGATGTTCAAGAATTCTCAACTGCATGAAAGAGACATCAGGATGTCAAATGTGGTTTAGAAACAATAATACAAACTCCTATTTCTTATTTGTTGAAAAATAAAAGAAAAGAAAGAAGGTGGAGCAACGGGTGAGGTGCAAAAGGTGATGATAATGTTTTGTGAGTGGAGAATAAAGAAAAGAAAAGAAAGGGATGGTGTGGTGAAAAAAGAAAAGTGGGAGAGAGAAAAAAGGCATGGGGGTTGGCACTTTGTGTTGATAGTGCAGCTCATGCGAGATAGAGAGAACCAGAAAGCCCGAGAGAAGATGCTGCCCGTAAATGTTTACTCAATGCGCATCTCCCTAGTAGCACGAAGCGTGTCAATCACCCCTTCAAGATAACTAATGGCAGCTTCTTGCTCTGGATACTGCCGAGAAACAACCTGAAAGACGGCGAGAGCGACGAAATGTTCGAGGCGAGAGCGACGAAATGTTCGAGCTTGAGAGTGAGTTGATTCCATAGCTTCCTCTGGTACAGATCCGCTAGGGTATTGTACCAATCGGAAAGTTCTGGATGGGCATTGCGAAGAGGATCCAGGTACTGTAGAGCGGCCATGGATGACTCGAGCGCTGAACACGAAGCCGGAGAGAGAGAGTGTCGTCCAGTAGAGCCGAGGAAGAGTACGGGTTTACCAACCAAGGACCCTTGGCTCTACCTTGCGATGAGTCGGTCTTCGAAGAGATCCTCCGAGTCGTGTCCCTGTCTGAAAGAGGGTGACGAATCAGTTTGTTGAGGAAGGAGAGAGAGAATTAGAAATTTTGGGTTTGTCCGGCGGACGGCCAAGGCGATCATCTTTACTAGAAAGTACAACCATTTACTATTTTTTTCTGTTGATTTGTCATTTGACTATTTAACTATTTGGGTGTTTGAATACCTACTGAAATTTGAATATTTTTCAAGTATCTTAGTTGGTCATGTAATATAGAATGATCAGTAAATGTAAAAATATATGTATTATTGATTGATGAATTGATTCATATAATGTTATTGTGTTTATTACAATTACAAGGAGGCCTATTATATAGGAGTGTGTTTGGGAGTAGGTGGAGAGTAGATGAAGTGGAGGTGGTAGTGGTGTAGTGGGTTAGGTTTAGTGGAGTAGGTGAGGTGGTAGTTGTGTAGTGGGTTAGGTTTAGTGGAGTAGGTGAGGTGGTAGTGGTGGTAAGGGTTAGGTTTAGTGGAGTAGGTGAGGTGGTAGTGGTGTAGTGGGTTAGGTTTAGTGGAGTAGGTGAGGTGGTAGTGGTGTAGTGGGTTAGGTTTAGTGGAGTAGGTGAGGTGGTAGTGGTGTAGTGGGTTAGGTTTAGTGGAGTAGGTGAGGTGGTAGTGGTGGTAGGTGATGATAAATTCTATGTCATTTTTCTATTTAACTATTTGGGTGTTTGAATACCTACTGAAATTTGAATATTTTTCAAGTATCTTAGTTGGTCATGTAATATAGAATGATCAGTAAAAGCAGTGGACTTACAACTGAAATGAAATGTGTTGAAACTGAAATCATGAAATTATCTATTTTAAGGCTCTGTTTGGGTGAGTGGGTTTGAAATTAAGGGATTTGAGGTAAAATTTTATGAAATTCTAGGAAACTGGAGACATGTTTTGATAATTTTGAAGTGAATGATTGAATAAAGATAAGAGATACACGTTAAAATCTTTACATAAGTAGAATTATTCATGAGAGGATTTCAAATAACTATATTCACCAACTTATTTCAAATTCATCAATCTAAAGCTCTCAAATCCATTATTGGAATCTTGATTAACAATATTCTAATAAAAAGGCTACACTTCTTCAATGAGTGATGCCAAATCCATTCAATTGAATTCCGTAGATCTAAATGCAACCTAAAATTGTTGGGAAGGAGAACTATGCAGATTTAAATAATTTGTATTATGAAGTAGGCTCACAACAAATATGATGGGGAAAAAAAAAAGAAGGCCCACTTTCTTGAATTTCCAAGGCTTCCTGTATTAATTGTGGCAATAACATTCTTGTAGCCTACTTCTTCATTGGTTGAATAAGTTCAAACCCTCTCTAATGAGGCCCCCTGGATACTGACAAGATTAGTTCCGTGGAACTGCCTTAAATATGCCATTGCCAATAGACAAGAAGAAAGAAGGTTTTACAGTTATGTAGCTGGTGAAGTGTCTTAGTAATAACAAAATTCATTTTACCTCCCTTGAAATTTAACCCTGGAGCATTTTATACCATTACTGTTCAAAAAATAGCTAAAGAGACCTCATGTGGTTTTGGATTAAATACAATAACTCCATTAACAGCGGGTGAAAAATGACTATAAACCCGGCTACTATGTTCTCTTTATCTCTAATGTTTAAGTTAATCGCATATTATCTAATTAAAGTAAATACTCCTATTTTTATAATCTAATTGTAATTTTTAACTTCATTTTTTATTTAGTCACATTTTTAATTGTACATACATATAGTGTATATATATATAATAACTGTACGACTGTCTTTCTCCTTCAATGTTTGTCGACCATCACTATTATATCCATCCCGTCAACAGCTTCAACAACCCATAATTCATCCATGAGGCAAAAGGACACATACCATGGACGAAAATATGTAAGTACAATTTATGTATATAATATATATACAGTGGAGGGGATATGCACCTGCAAAACATGTAATGCCCCAGTTTTCAAAAGATTAGTTAGGTGAAAACTAAATAACCTAAGCGTAATCTTTTAATAAAAACTCCACTGTCAGACCATCTCAAACATTCTCAAAGCTCATTCCTTTACCATTTCCCATTAATTTACAAAATGCTCAATTTACCTTGTAGAACATGACCAAAGTCCAATTACTTATGTTTCAAAGTAGATTCTGTTTTTGTTATAACTACCTGGAGCACCAAAGTACAAGAAAAGATGTAGGTTGTAGCTAGGAAAAGAATTTTCATTGGGAATGTGACTAGTTGATGTTTTTTGCAAAAATAGTTGGTTTATTAAATAGTTGCTTCTAGAGTTAATTACCTAAAAGTCCTATTTACAAATGTTATGGTAACTCAGGTCCTATTAAAGATTTTCTAAACCAATAAGTTCTATTTAGTAAAACTGATAATATTATTAGTTTTTCCTAATTTTTAAAACTAAAAACATTATCAATTTTGCATAGTAATGCTCTAGATAATTGTTTCACTAACTGATGGAAAAAAACAGAGCATGAGGTTAAACGTTTTTGCCTTTTTACTTATTGGTTTGATTCAACTATCCAATAAAACTGAAAACATTATCTGTTTTTTCCAGTTTTAAAACTAAGAACATTATTAGTTTTTTCATTTATTTATTTATTTTTTCCATTTTGCACAAAATAATTCAGTTTTTTCAAAAAAAAACATATATATATATATATTTTGCACATAATTTTTTTTTTAGTTTTTTCAATTTGAAGTTGATGTTTTAAGGT